AGTATAGCCAATTTGTGGGGGGAGGTAGGATACGGGCCCCTTGTGCCCCCTTAAATACGCCCCTGCACTAAAACATAAATGACTTGTTTCCGTTGTCCACGTACATTACTAAGTGTTTTTAATTTCTCATAATTTACAACTCAGAAATAAATGTTATGCACTGCAGAGTACCTATCCTTACTCACTGACCAAGCGTTAATATTTAATTCGGTTTAATAACAAAATCAATATTATCGTCTATGTGGAAAGTTGCAATAGGTACAAAAAAACTGTAATAAATATTAATAGCATTTTGGAAAAATCGAAGTAAAATGGGCGTAGGTTGGTCAATCCATTCTCTTTTTACTTTAATCTCAAAAGGCTTAAATATACAAATGTTCATGTGTTTGATAAATATATATATATTACAGTCATATAGAATATATATCATAGATCCATTATCAATAGGTACATGGTACATTTAAAATTGTTTTTTTTTTTAATGATTTCAGACAATTTCAGTACCTACCTAGTTATACCCAATAAGTGTTTTTTTTTTTTTTTATTAAACATAAAAGACTGAGGTAGCTCTGGCCATTGGTCTTCAATAAGTCTATGTTAATAGGAATACCTACATAGTTCAGTAGTTTGTGATTATGTTTGTGTAAGTTTATTGACAATGTGCATAGGACTACACCGAACGAATAGAATAAACGTTTTAAGTTTCAACTCATGCAAGTTATACATAGTTTAAAATAATTGAACTTGTTATAACTTTAAAGTATTTTTGACTTAAAAGTTAATTAAATGTTTGAAATAACTTTGTTAAGATAAATGTGTTACACATAATTTTACCTACTGGACAGCTGTGTCACTCGACGTGACAAATTCTTCAGAAGTGTCAACACTGAACATTGTCAACATAAGCAAGTACCCACGATAGTTAGCTATTAAACTTAGCTGGAATTAAATTAAAAATTACTTCGTCTTGTATTAAAATTTAAAAGTTAATGTATGTACAATATTAACTCAAGTTAATAAAAGAACAAAAATAACTAGTAAGTTAAAAAATTTAATTAACTAGTTCGTTCCCAGCCTGGGTACATTGTCAATTCTCGTGAAGGACGTCGACCCATATAATATGCCACTTAATAATTGTGTAATAATAATATGTTCGCCGCATTAACAATGGCAATAATTCACGTACAATAAAAATGTATTTTTTAAACACACGTTATATAAATTCTAAAATTGGGATTTAGAAATGAATTGGGTGTAAAAAATGTATGCTTAAAATATTTGAATTGCCTACCTACTGACTTGTTCAAATTGTTGGTTCAAAATTATAATATAATACAATATTTATTATATTATACATCAACTATACCTCCATATTATTATTATGAATTCACCTTGTACAATATTATAGTATTATTTTATTAGTACCATTACCATTCGTTTCCTTTCTGTTATATTAAACAATAAACATCCTAATCCCGAAAATCCTACCGGTATATAATAATATATGTATTATACTCGTTTATATCATATAAATATTTAATACTCAGTAGTCTGCAGTACAATACTATATTTTAATACTACGCGTATGTGTGCACGGTGTACCTATATATATATATATATATATCACGACTGGTATAGGTAATAATATGTATGGGTATGAAAATATATGAATATATGAATATACGAAACGGCAACCAGGTATCTACTTAGTCAGTCTCCCATCAATGCAGTTATGTTGTGTAGGTATAAACGTATTATTATAATACCATATACGTATAATAATAATTTTAATTTATTTTTTTTTTTAAACCATTTTTTGTAATGATTCGCTGATTATTCCACAACGTGCGACAGGTTTCACACTCCCTCTGTCATCCGCGGTTACAAAATAACGAAATACCTACCATTATCATAACATTATATTATTGTTGTAGCAGACTATCGCACGCCAACATTATTGGTTGACTTTAGTTCGCTATTATTATGCTTGAAAAATACGTTTTTGTTGAACTTGTAGACCTATATAAGTCTAGGCCTCGTGGCGCTCTCGTGCAGTGCACACCCGGCATGCCTGGTGCTTATATCATATATTATTGGTGTTGTAACATCGGTGGTGAGGCCATGAGGGCCGTAGAGGCAAGCCCGGATTAATGGGGGGGTTCCCGGAGGGGCCATGGCCCCCCGACCTCGATAGTTAAAATTTATTTAGGCGCCTCAGATTTGTCCATTACTTTTTTAGTTATAGCCTATAACACTGCGTCACTCTACATCACATAAAACAAAATCAAGGAGGAAAAAGCTTGTAAATTATAATTTATAAATACGATGATACATTATTCATTATTTATTGCTATGTACCTAATATCTATATATAATATATATATTTATTATAACAGGTATACCTAAATATTAAATAATGTAATAAACATTATTACTATTTTTTTTCGTGCAGGGGCCTCAAAATGTCTTTATCCGGGCTCCCGTAGAGGAGGAATGATGGTGATCATCATATTTCTCCGGTTGGGGGGGGGGATACCCGCTAGTCAACAATATTATGTTTTGTTTTATTGAATAATAACAACCAAAATCGTGTACCCCTCTCCACACCACAAAAATGGCAAAATCCTAAATCCATCACTGAAGTGTACAGAATCTAGATGAAGATCTTGTACACAATAGAGGACCTTATCTCGGGATCCGACTACAAACTTTCTACAATCTGAACCCTTTGAATAGAGGGCCCCTCCGAATAAAGGACAACATTTCAGAGATCGAGTCACCAGATGAGTCTGGTATTTAGAGATTATATATTATTATAATTTAAATGTCGTCTAGTATTCGCTGTCCCGTGACTGTCAATTGCAAGTTTGATATTATTAGACAGTCATACGGGCTATTTAATATTATTACTGTACAAAACGACTCCGTCTAGATTGTCCGATTGCTCAGTACTCCGAGTACCGGAGTACTCGTAATACGCATTATAATAATAATATTATTGTATAAAGTTATGTTATAATAACACACACACACACACGTCGGATCCGTGTATGTGGAAGACAGTGGTGCCGATGTGCATTCATTCATGAATATTGTTATTGTTGTTATTTGTTATTACCGTCGTCGTCTCTAGTCTTTGTCCGTTTGTCGTCGTTGACGACGGAAACCGTGTGTGTGTGTGTGTGTGTGTGTACGGTTTACAGTAGTGTTGTAGCGTTCGGTTGTTATCCCCGGCAATCCTGTCGCCGGCCGGTCGGGCGGGTGAGGAGGTGAGTCGCGTACTCGCTTTTCCCCACCCCCACCCCCTCCAACACGACCGCGGCGACCCGCCCCTTATTGAAACACCGTCATCGGTGCCGCCGCGACTTACAGTTCGGTCTTTCGGGATACGGTTAACGGTCAACGGACCGACGGCCGGGAAGCAAAAACCGACAGGGGCTGGCGGGGCGGCGTCGGCGTCGGTTTTGGAGTGGTGCGGCGGCGGTGATGCAACAGCAAAAGGCTTGGCGGCGGCGGCGGTAGGTACGTAGGCGGTTGCACGTTGGCGGCGAGGGGAGAGAGGGTAGCGCTGCAGCCGACCGGCCGGGCCGCCGCCGCCCAAGATTAATAAAACGTTCACACTCGCGCTGGCTCGTGTGCGTGCGCATTGCTACCGCCGCCGCCGCCGCCGTATCGTTGATAACGCGAGAGTCGGTCCGTGTTTATTATGTGTGCGGCGTGATTAGCTGTTGGTCGACCGTCGTTTCCTGCAGTCGTCTGGCACCACGCTCAACAACAACAAATAGTAGTATCGTAGCGTTCCGTCAGTCGTTTGTTTTCGTCCACCTCTTTCGCGTCTGTCCCGTTCCGACTTTTCGCCCTCGCAGTGTTGGCGACGTTTTCCCACACGTACCGTTCTCGTCCACAAACGTAGCCGGCGTCATTCTTCTGCTTCTCCCAGTACTGTTTTCAAACGATTTCTTCCACCTACCATCGCCGTCCACCCTTCCGGACTCTGATGCTCCGCCACGACGTCTGCCGTCCGCTATAGGGAGGGACGCTCCTCGCACTTTGGCCCCGTTCATATGGTGCACGTCTTGTAGACAGTCGCGACCGAGGACTGACAAATCCGACCGAGACAGCCGCTCAGACTTCTGCCCTTAGACCTCTGACCTGAACATGGCCGAGAAATGTGTCAAAGCGCCGGCCACCGGCACTCGACCGGTACCGATGAAACTGTTTGCCACCTGGGAAGTCGATCGCACGCCATCCAACTGTGTACCCAGGTAATTTGACCACAACAAATTCTGTCTGAAATGCATTACCCTATGTAATATAATAATTTCCCATAACTACACACTTTAAGGTGTAAACATTTCAGTTATTTTAACACTCAAATGGTAAAATGTATTGTTGTTTGGGTAGGTAAATTATTTTTGATGTGTACTTATCGTTTGGTATATGATGCTCTTTCTAAAGTTCAAATATTTTGTTCCTAATAAAACAATTATTGATTTTGCTGTTTGCACTAATTATTCAATCAAATTCTTTGTACCAATTTTGCATAGCATCTTTTGTTAAACCATCAATAGTTAGAAGTATAATTTAAACAAATCAAAAACATTTAGGCACCTAAGTATATTATACTTAACTTACTTTTGGAAGAATGCAAGACATCTCCTGCACATAATATTATTATAACTTACCTACCTAATACTTGCAAATTATTATTAGTAGATTACTTAACTTACTGTTTTTGGATCAAGTAAAATATGATTATTGTATATTTTAAAATCCTTAGCTGCTAGCGTACCAAATATTATAATATAATAGGTAGGTATGCACAACTTGTTTATAATTGTGACATTTTTAATTAATATTTTTCTGCGTTGGTCTACAGTCTAATGTCAATGGTTGCATAGACAATCACTGTTCATTTAATGAATCAATGGTCAAATGAAGTCAGCAGTGTTGCAAATAGTCCGTGAAACATAATTTAGTGGCTAATGATTGGTTCTTTTAATTTTAGTGTGAATCGTTATTTTTATAATTTTTTTTTTACTTGTTAAGTACTGCATAGTATGAGATGAATTTAATTTTTACAAGTAATGTACATTAATGTTTAGTAGGCACCAAATTATTCAAAATAAATTCATTACATAGGTATTATAGATAGGTACTTAACAAGTATTAAATTCCTAATGCGATACCTATAATAAAAGAATCATTAAAATATTATGATACAATTGAGGTATTATGTGATTTAATTAGGTACCTATATTATTAAGATTAAATTCCTGATTGTTAATCATTATTTAATGATAATATTGTTTATTTTAATTTTAGCTTCATCAATTTCAAATTACTGTTAGACTTTAATATTTAATCACAAAATTACCCAGGTATAGGTAGGTACATAATAATATAAGCCCAAGTATTTGAGTACTTTATTTTTGACTGATTAATTAAGTTGTTATTATACAGATTAATAATTGTATAAACAGGCAATTCATTTTTAATAGTTAGGTATACCTACATTATAAACTAGGTATAAAATTCAAAATTATCCATAAACATGTAAATAAGTATCTATCCATAAACATGTAAATAAGTATTTATCCGTAAACATGTAAATAAGTATTTATCCGAAATGTTTTTTTTTCAATTTAAGGAATTAATCATAAAAATTATAATATTGGACATTACACAAATTTAATAAATATTATTTATTTTGCTATGCTCAATAATGTAGGAAATTTCAAACACACTTATTATTATGTTTGTTATTATCTATAAATTATAATGGTCCATAGTTGTATTGGTGCATTACTTTATGAACTACAATAATAATTTATCCATTTAAACAATATAAAATTAATTGTAAACTGTGTACAATTTTTGCCAAAACAAAAATGAAATTTCAAAGATTTCATTTGAAGTAATAAAACTGTCATGTTGTATTTCTTTTTATAAACAAGAATTTTTTTGTCATTTAGATACCTATAGGTATCCTTTTAATATGTCCTACCTTCTTAAAATTCATAAATTCAATTAATTTATAAAAAAAACTGATTGGTTTTAATTTTAAGAATTAAAACACCTATAGCACTGGAAATAATAGATACTTATAATTGCTAATAGTTTTGGTATTATTGTTTTACTTTTTTATTGGTTTTATTTTTATAAATTGGTGCAATAACCAATAATAAAATTAAATAATGAATTGGGTACATTTTTGATTTTACTTCATATTTAGATTGGCTTAAAATTTAGATTAATTAGGTAGGTACTTGACAGATACTGTTTTAATGAGATATTGTTACTGTAATTAATTACATGTGTATTGCGATATTGATAATTAATTGTGTATTCAATAAAGTATTTTGTACACATTTTAATTAAAATATATTTCTTAGTTTTTTGAATATTGTAATTTACACTAACAGAATATACGGTTAAGATATTATCTAACACTATAAAAATACTAATTTTGCTATCTATATTACAAAATATGTTATTTATTTATGTGAATTTATCATTGTTAGGGATGTGATAAATGATTATATTGTAAGTTATGCATATTATATAGGTATGACCTTTTCAATGAATAATTATAGAAACTGCTATTGATATAAAATGATGTATGGCATTAAAAATAAAAGTTAACGCTATTATTGTATCATGGCACATAACGAATTGCCTATAAACCAATAATAATTTATTGTAATGCTCTCCTTTTATCAAATTCAACGCATATAAATAATATAAACATATTATCACAAAACAGTTTAAATTGATATCTATAATACGTATATATTTTGTACAATGATAATAATATGTGGATTGATTTTTGAGATTCTCCAACAATTAATTAAAGTCTAGAAGTAATTTTTATAATTATACTTTAAAGTGAAAAAATGTACAGTATTATATTGGTTTTAAAATATTTTCAAAAGTTTCAAGTACAATTTGATATTTAATTTAAATGGTATGTATGGAATTTTGAAGCAAACTTGATGCGTGTATGAATTTAATCAATTTAAATTAAAAACGCGTACGTGTTTAATGGGCCCAACACTCTATTACCAGTCTAACATTTTCTATGTGAACTTTTTATGAAATTTGCATATTTGTTATTTTACAATAATTATAAACTATTATTATTTCCTTTTTCTTGGTAAAAAAGTTAGTGAATATTATTGAAAAATTAAAAAAATAACAGTTTTTCTCAGAATCATGATGTTATTATTTGGTAACAATTAGGTAATCATCATTTGTTTCTTGGTTATTGTAGGTAGATCAGTGTCTATGGAAATTAGTAGAAATTACAAAGAAATTATCTCATGATTGCAGTTTTACTTTTTAGGTGTCTTCTAATTTTTTGAACGCTTTTGAACTAATTGTATTGTATCTAAATCAAAAACTAAATTTAAATTTACAAACTTATATGTCGTCACATCCTATGTTATAAGAATTTGTACAAAATGGAATTAAAACTGTTAAAAGGGTTATATAAAACAAATTCTTGTTTATATAAAATATTATTTCAACGGCATGACATACATTCTACTGTAGGTAAAATATAATTGTATGTTTCTTTTAACCGTGTAAAATTTTAAGTGAAGAAAAATGGCCGATTGCCAGAAGAAGAATGTTTTTGTTATTGTAAATTTGTTTGATTTTGTTTTAATTTTATACACATTGTTTTTATTTTTAGTTTAGTAATTTTTGGCTAGGTTTTAGTAGAAAATCTAAAACTTTTTAATTTGTTTAAATAGTTATTGATATTATTCTAGCGTTTAACGATGATTTGAAAAATAATATATATCAATAGTATGGTAGGTAGTTAAATGCTTATTTTATGGATTTATGATGCTTATAAATATTATATAATTACATAAAAATAAAACAATTAAGCACCTAAATCAAAATTCCAATTCTATTGACACATTAAAGATTCGGGAATATTTTTATATTGGACTAAAAATAATAGTTTTTTAATAGTTTGTATAAATAAACATCACATTTTTGTTTATAACTATATGTCTGTACAGTGTACGTCATACCAATTTAAATATTTATTCATTTCTTCAAATATTTATAAAAGCAAACATTTTATTCCTGAAATTCGAATAGCACTAAAGTCGATATCCTCTCTTATTACTCCGGAAGTCTGGACATTTTCCTCCTAAGATAAAAAAAAATGGATATTTTGCTGCAATAATGGATGTTTTCAAAGTAAAATGTAATTTAACATTTCTTACAAAAAACCATTTTAAATGGAGTTTGACTTAATCAAAAATGGTTGAGATGATATGTTGTTAAAAATTATTATTTGTATATAGTTATATTTTTATAAATAAATGTTTTCAAATATATAAATACTAAACAAATAATTGAAGGCGTCTGAGAAATTGTAGTTTTAACTTTAAACCAATTATTAATTATTATTAATTAAACCGTATAGGTATTTTACTTTTAAATGTACTATTATATTAATAGTAATAATAATAATAAACTGAGTTTTATGAATTAAACTGTATTGATTAAACCATTCATCCTGTTCAGATATTTTTTAAATTTGATTTCTAACTCCCAGTAGCGTTATCATAAGTTTTTATTGGAGTGGGGAATTCGAAAATGTATTGCTAAAGGAGCCTTGAATACCTTCATTAAATGCAGATTGCCATTCCATGTTCCCCTGTCAAACTATGTATTTTTACATAGGTATTTCAAAAATTGTATGTACTTTTACTCTATTATACCCCCCCCCTCGAGAACGCCCATGCCAACTCCAAATTCTAGTATTAAATATTTTTAGCTACCTAACAGTTGTTTGAAAATCAAACGATATCAATTCACGCCTATTTATTTTGAGCTTACTGTGCCTATTAAAACTTACGGCACATAATAGTTGCCTCCTGAAGTAAAAAGGTCGATAAATTTCGACGTAATGCCACCTCAACATACCCTAAATTTTATCATAAACGAAAATGGTCTATTACTGGTTGGCTTTTAATGGGCAGGTAATAAATGTTTAAGTGGCTGCTAAACGATACAAAAATGTCATATACTACATATAATACTACATTATTAGTTATTAAGTAGATACTAGATACTATTATTAGTTATTATTAACTATATTATTCAATAGATGTGTATTAATGTATTATTTATATACATGAATATTATGATATATACGAGTAACTAAGACTGATGATTTTAATCGTACAGCTAAATAATTCGAAATATCTAAACAAATGTGTTCAAAAAATAATAATTATTA